TGACTGCCATGATTTTTCAAATATGATGAATCCTATCATCTGCAGGGCTGAAGAATTCATTATCACAGTCTGTGCACCTGCCCCATTGCTATGTGGTACTGCTATGATGGCACTGCTGAGTGACCATGGTTACCACCACCTCATTATCACCATCTCTGGTCTCCTTGCTCAGGCACCGTGGAACTATGCCCTTGCTGGTGAGGACAACTGTCCTGCCAACCTTGCAGTCACCCTGACTCCCAGTTCACCTTCCCTGTGAAGCAGCCTGCTCTTGTTACTCCCTTACAGAGCCTGATCATGCTGAGGACACATTCTCAAAAAACAAGTTTTTCCTCTTCTGCCTTTGAAGGAAGTTACTTCCTCATCTTCCAAGATCCAGGTAATGCTGGATTTTCTGAGCAGAACACAGGTGATCTGAAGAACATCAGGTTCATACAAACTCAAACAGCTGGAAAGCATGCCAGTTACAAGATTTGATGAGATTAAGCCACTTCTGGGGTTGCCAAAGTATACACATATATAGTCAATAAGCCTTTTCTTTTCTGTTAGTGAGCACAGATTTGAAAAACTTGCTTGGAGTAAGAGTACCGAAGGATAAGAACATCTCTAGAAAAACCATTAAGACGATGATAGCCTAATGGTTTCATAAGATGATGAAAAATGCTGGCTGAAATTAAAGCATCTACACACTCAAAAAAGGAAAAAAAATACTTGAGAAAGTTAGACACAAGGAGACAATTTAGAGGCAGACAAAACATTGCAACTTACATGACATATTAATATCAGTTTTCTGTCATGGGATCTAATTAATACTGCGTATGAACTGTCACTAAGACAATCCACATCACAGTTCTGATATGTTTTATGTCTCATGACCACTCAAATTAAGTAATATAATTATTCACATAGTCAAAAAAGTTGGCTTCTGACAATATGCATTGCTAGTTTAATTGCATAGCAAAACATTCTTTTAGCACTTTAGGCAGATGATTTACTTCTAATCATGCATTCAGCTCAGTAATATCCATGCTTTGCAGCTACTACATGTCTTCCTTACTTGCTAAAAAAAAAAAAAACCAAACCACTAGAAAACTTTACCCCATAACCATGATTTTACTGTTCATAAAACATGAATCATGTAGTTAAAATCTTACTCTCTTGTAAGAGTTAAAATCTCTCTTTTTTTTTATTCAGTGCATGAAATGCATTGCATAAAATGGGAGCAATGTAATTTATGTCATTGAGCTACAAAGTAGCATGAGTTCCTTCCCAGTTCACTCCCCAGTATTTTTGAGGAGAAAACTTGGATATTACAGATTGGTGCAATGGGTCCTCTGTGTGACTCCTTCATGCTTCCTTTAAGACCAGTACTCTAAATGCATGTCAGCTGGCACAACAGGACTAATTTAGGAGCACTGTAATTTGCTGCTGGAACAGATCAATAGGAGATTATTATCCATAATTCCCAAGATGACAGAAAGCATGTAGTCAGGCCATGCTGAAACATACAGTTTACAAATTAAATTACTCAAAAGCCTCTCCTGGAGGCAAATCCTGTAGCAGAAAATTGATTTCTTATTAGTTTTACATGACTGTGCTTTTGTTACTGAAGGCTACACCAAGGCTAGCATTTCCAATGAAGTGGTGGATAACCAAAAGTCTATCTAAACAGAGATGTCTTTTGAGTCATTACTTTTTCCACAGATACTGGCATTAGATGTACTATTCAGTTTTACATATGGGGGATAAGTAACATACGGATTGTGAGTCAATGCCCCAGAGATCATCAGTGAGACCATGAAAAGGAATCCCTTCTCTTCTGAAGAAGTACAATCAGATGTCTGATGTTAACCCACTAGTTTACACCAGGAGTGTGCTCTTAGAGTGAATACTCTGCTCTAATTCACCTGCCTGGCTTAGCATACAGAGTGGTGGAGTGCACAAACTGGATGTCTTTCAGATTAAATCAACCATGAGTTCACTAAATGATTCCAGCCACTAACAGGCACTCCGCCGAAACAAAGCCCACCCAAAACACATTCTGTAGGGATGTAGGATCCTCTGCATTAGCTGTTTTCCTCTACAGAGCCATTTTTATTGGACCATATTGCATGCTAAAGCAGACATAGCTTTCCTTAGTGCATTTAAGGTTTAAGTAATAGAAGAATCAGGTTGTATGCAAATGATTAAAAAAAGTCATTTAAGATTAAAAGAACACTGGAAAATAGAATCATAGAATCATAGAATAGTTAGGGTTGGAAAGGACCTTAAGATCATCTAGTTCCAACCCCCCTGCCATGAGCAGGGACACCACACACTAAACTACGTCGCCCAAGGCTTTGTCCAATCTGGCCTTGAACACCGCCAGGGTTGGAACAACCCTTTTTTAGGAAAAAAAAATTACTATTTAAAGCAGTTAACTGTTAACTACTAGATCACAACCAGGGCCAAATTATCATCTTCAAAATTGTTATAGTTAAGTTCACCCTTTCCAATGTCTTTAGGCTGTGCAGACTTCTAGTGAAATTACCTGAGCTATGTATGTGAATGCACATTTGAAGATGTAGTTAGGAATGCTTAATCTTACAGAAATTTATCAGAGGCTAGGTTCCTGAACTAGGTCCTGGACAGAAATCTGTTTTTTTCTGATAAAGTTATAAACTGGATATCAGAGTGATTAAGCATGTATTTAAACATGTAAGACATTTAGCTAATTGCTCATCACAGAAAAATTTTGTTCAATTTAGGGGGCTATTCCAAGACAAACCATTCTATGATTCTATTATTTTCTGCAAAACTAATTGGGGGGAGGGGGAATAAAACTAGACATTGGTAGGTACTTCAAGCTCTTCATGCAAAATTTAAATTTTCAATTTCCTTCCAACGTTGCATTATCTAAACAAGGGCTATACAACCCAGCCTTTGTTGGATGTGTCTCTGGCAGTAAATAAATGCACTAAAGACCGTTCTTTTTATCTATCATCCTGCCTTACAGAAAAGGATTTTTACCCAAAACTACATCCTGGGGGCAGACCTCTGGCCCATGGTAACTGTTGAAGTGCTCAGGGAAGTTGTCTGGGAGAATGCTAGTTAGAGGCCAGGACAATCTCCAGTACTGTTCCCACAGTTTAACAATACAGCTGGTCAAGTTTGCATATTTTGCAATGTTAAATTTACTAGTATAATCATAGTCTTTGAATAATCATTAACTGACAGAGACCTAATGATTGTTACGTCCCAGAATATCAGTGCTCCAGACACTTTCCAATAATAAACCAGACTTTGAGATGTTGCCATAAATGGCAATTCCTTCGAGACATTTTTTTTTTACAGTAAATTTATTTGCAGAAATTCAGATTAGTGGAGGCTTTGATCTCTGGTGGCAAGTGACTGACCCTGAAAAATGGTTGGATTTATAATCCTGAGCAGTTAGTTCCCAGGGCTTATACTCTGCAAGATCCCCCAGAGAAATGTCAGAATACGTACATAAAGTTGAATGGTGTCAAATATACAACATGATCCCCATGTCTTTGAGCAAACACTAACCTTCTGTTCCATAAGTAATGTGTTTGTAGGGATTGCTGCAAATGCCTTGTAGCTTGTCTTGATCTTGTATTGCTAAAAGGGTAAACCAGAAAGCAGGAAGAAAAGTAAAACAGGGTAGAAGAGGAAGAGGGGGAGAGTGGGAAGAGAGAGGAAAGGTACGACAGAATGAAAGACAATTCCAATTGTCTTGCAGACATGTTGCAACAATACAATGCTAACATATTACCTAGGAAAGCTATTTCTTAACATCTTGTGCTTCTGTTAAGATCTTAAAGGACTGTAATGTACATATTTTGTTTTTAGGAATGAAGTAGAGCAAAGTAAATTCTCTGTACCAGTTTATAACTTCCAAAGTGATTTTGACTGCTTCTGCTGCCTACTATCCTTAAACAAATATCTGGAGATGCTGTGAAGTTTTTCCAAGTTTGCTTGTGATTTGATATGATAATGCACAGCTACTTCTGTCAGTAGGTGTACTTCAACAACTACTGCTGTGCAGTCTTATTCTGGACCACTAAGTCAGAGGGATTTCTGTGATATGCTTTAATGAGACTGATTAGGATCCTTAAATGCTGAATTACTTATATGAGTGGATAAGTCATTTAAGTCACGTCACAGCTTTTCATCTCCCGCCTAAGTAACTCTACCACCCAAACAAATATTTCAAAGTAACTGTAGGAACTTTCACATTCTAACCAAGAATATAGGACTGGCAATCTAAATCATACAAAACGTATGGGTTTGGGTATACAATTTCAAAGATCATCCTTAAGAATTATTATTTTAAAATAATTTATTTGTTAGATTGCTTTAGCTCAACAGTTATTTTTAACTCTTTAGAAACCATACTTTCTACATTTCCTTTCTAATTATGAAGGTTGAATTAGTAGTTTTAAAATTATTGATGAGATTCTTCTACATTACATGAGTTTAAGAGCTAGGATTCTTCACAGTATTCATCTCATCCCAAAATAGACATCTAGCAATGTAAAGTAAAATCATCCTGTAAAACTGCCATATTCTTTCCATTAGCTATAATAGACTTGCCCAAATTGTGTTTGGATATTTAACTTTCAAAGATCAAAACTCACATGAGTTGAATCCTACCCTTTGAACATGTAGACAGCAACACTCTTCTATAAGTATGTGTAATATTCATATATATATATCTATGTACAAAATCTATATGCAGCTAAGAGGTAAAATACTGCTCACTGAAGTATGATGGAAGACCACAATTCCAAGTATTTAAAATGGCATATCCACAAAATGTATCTTTGTTTGCTTATAATTGATATTCAATCAAGAAATTTATAAAATCATGCATGTAAATGAAATGCAACATTTTTACTAGCCCACAGGCTTTTACATATGATGAGATGGATATCATATATGATGAGAATGTTGTGACCATTTTGAAGTGGTTGTACTGTTATATGAACTAAACAAAGACAGATCAGGTTGCTAAAATGTAGACTTTTCTATACCACTTAAAGGTGTTTTATCGCTTCCAGATACTGTGGATCCTGTGAGCAATGTGCTATTGTGACAGTGTCTGAGATGCATGGAAAGTCTTTAATTCAGTTTCTTGTCTATAAGAATATGTTGACTGACACATTAGTTTATGTTATTTAAAGTTATTATTCAATGCCTAAATATGTAATAATCTGGTTCACAGGAATATAACAATATTTTTAAACAGCCATGGACAGTTAGGTCTGCCAGCTTGTGCCATGGTCCAGTCAGAAGCAAACCATCTCCAATATCAAAGCTCAGGCAAATATCAGCCTGGGGAGTTTTGAGAGAATTGCCCTACTTTTCTTGTTCAAATGATAACCCAGGGCACCCACAGGGCACTGCAAAGTGTGCTAGACACATACTTATAAAGCCTCAAAATCAGTGACTAACCATGGTGTTGCAGAGCTCCTCAGGAGTAATCTTTCCTGCTTTGTGGTAGGTTTTGCAGCTGTGCTGAGCTTCATGTTGTTACAGTTAATTTGTTCCCCAGCTGTTATGGGTAGATCTACATGCATTCCTGTGCTACATTCAAATAGGAAAAATCAAAGAATATGTAGAAATGATACCCCATGAAATCACTGCAAAGAGCTTTCAAACAACAGCCAGAAGTTTTTATTCTAATCTGTTCCGGCAGAATCAGCAATTTTGTATCTCCACTCCATCCTACTGTTAATTTTTCTGTATTAGGTCCATGAGGACACTATTAATGTGTCTGCAAAGTCCAGGAAGAGGGGTTTTTGTTTCCTTTGGTCACCCAAAGTTCACACTATTATGTGGATTTATGTTTATATTCACTTTGCAAAGCAATCATATTTTTAAATCATTGGTGATCATAAATATATAAAGCATGCGAAAGCACATGCTTATATATAAAAATGCAAACAGTTAAAGAAGTTCATCGGTTTAATACATGTCTCAATGTTAACCACTGTTTAAGCAACATTAAGGTAGATAAATTATACATGCCAGAGTCAAGCACTTGTAGATGCTGTGCTTTTCCCTTGATATTCACTTAGCACATTCATAGAGGCAAAAATTTTGTCATGCATCAACAGTCATCAGATGAAGCAACTTGCTTTGTGTAGTTCTGAAGTTGAGTTGATTGGCACTAAAGAGACCTAAATGCTGCTTAGGATTTAAATGTTATGTGTCCTCAATCTTTTCCTTTTTCAGTGGAAACATACTGGGATATGAGGCTGGAGAGTTTTCAGAGAACTTGGTATCATTAACAAATCAGCAAAGCTCATTGAGCTATGCCGTAAACTAGGTATGGAAATAAATGAGAGCAGGAGGAAAGGGGGTTGTTGAATGCACACTATTAACTGTAAATGAAATCTCAGCCTCACATTCTAAAGCCACAAGAGACCTTTCCCACACTGAACACCTAGCTGCATTTGATTTAGAGAATTCAGATCTTCCACATCCCTGGTGGAGCCAGCTTTGTTAGGATGATTAAAAATTTCACCTGGTTAACGGTCCAAGTCTATTAAACTGGTGGACACTCTCACTGTCTCCATGGGGTGCTGGGCAGTTTCAAAAGTGTCACCATATCACATGATGAAGCAGGATTAGCAGGAAAGAGACAGTAGGGAAGACAGGGAGCAATAACCTCTGCAAATGCAAACCTAGGCAATAGCTCCGTGTCACAAGCAGAGAATTTCCTTATGCCAGGGACTCTTACAGTGCTCATTGCACTGACTAGCAGAAACTGCAACTGCTTTGCAATCTGCAGGCTCAGTCATGCCTTTCATTCTTGTCCTGGGGCTTTTTTCTTGGAATTTCTACAATTTCATTTGTCTTTTTGATTCATTAAGTAATACTGACAGGGGCTGTGCTTGGCACAACAGTTCCTCTTGGGTTGTTTGATTTTTAAAAGAACTATTCATGACAATTGCTACTTTGTGCTGATTTAAACCTCTCATTTTCAATTAACATTTTCCAAGCAGTTCAGATCACCCCTGCCATGGCCAAGCTGTTAGGAACATGTCTGACACAACTTGATCTGGCAGACCAGGCTGTAATTTTGTGCTGTGAACAAATAAATCATTAAACTTTGGTAGTCTTTTAGTGATAGCCAGAGCTCAGATATGAGCAAAAGGAGGCATGAAGGAAGCACAAAGTGCAGAGATAAAAGAGATTGGAAAGCTTTCTGCACCTCTGATGTCTTCTAGCTCTTCTTTTTTACATAGCAGTTCCTTCTGTTTTCACCTACCTGCTGCAAGTTTTTTGATCAGCTTTCCTTTCCTCCCCCTTCCCATTCTTAAGATTCATCCTTAGGTTTAAAGTATGACTGGTTCCCAAGCCCTCCTGCAGTAATCATTCTCATTGCTTATTCTCAGTCCGCTGGGGCTCCCCCACCTTCAGGTGGAGGACAAACAGCAGGATTGTGCTTGATTCGTTAAGTGTCAGACTTTCATATTTGCAGTAGCTCATGTTGTAGGTTGTTGTTTGGTTGGGGTTTTTTTCCTTTACGTGCTGTCTAGCACAACAAGATCAGAAAAGTACAAAGGAAAGGGAAGAAACGAGAGACTGACCTTGTCCTCCCTTTCTGGCTCTTAGCCCCAAAGTCCCTGCTCAGGCTGAGCTCAGCCGTGCCTCTGGGCTGGTGAGTGCAGCCTCCTGGGGAGTGGGGAGGACAGGTAGGATGAGGTGCTTGGGAATTAGCTGTCACTGGACCAGCCAGTTCACATCAATCTTATTAGACTGCTTCTAGCTCGGCCCTGCATCTGAAATAACCAGATTTCTATTCCTTTCAGTGGGAATACATGTGGATTTAAATTAGCATAGGTGTATAGAACATGATTTATGTTTATTTTTGACACACTAGTGTTCTAGGTGAGCTTCAAAAATAAGTGCACCAAATGTGCATCAGGGCCACTGGACACAAATCCAGTCAGCACTATTTCCTCCCACTCATGAATAAAGTATTTCATTTTTATGCTGAAGGATTCCTACAGCATCTTCCCCGTAATACAGAACACACTGCTAGCAATTTGATATGATAGAATTTGGTCTTCACTATCTTCACTATCAATGCAAAAGTGATTCCTTTTTAAATATTTTTTTTTCCACAGCTCATTTATTTTACTAGCCTTGTGCAACATGGATGTGATTTTTCCTACAGGGACAAAGAACTATTAGAAAATAAGCATGCACTAAGAGTACCTTGGGTTTGATGTTTTCATGGTCAGGAAGCAGGGAAAAAGACTGTGGTGAAGTCAGCTCTCTGGGTCTTGATGGTAGTGTGCCTGGTGACTTGTCTGAGACAGGAGATCTGCACTTTAACACTGGTGAGATAGCAGATTGTTCGGATCTTGGAGACGAGGAATTAGACCTATAACTTGTGTACACCAATGGAGAATTAAACTGCAGTGGATAGGAATTAGTATCACCAGTTTGTGGAACCGGTGGAGTAGAATGAGGCCGTGAGAGAGACCGCTGCTTTGAGGCACTTGAAGGGATAGGAGAGGAGGCACTCATCTCCTGAACAGAAGTTTGAGGTGAATTTGATTTAGATCTAGAAGCTGGATGTAAAAGACTTGGGGAAGGAGATG